AGCAGCAGCTGCTGCTGCTGCGTAGTTTAATGGAGCGTTCCTAGAAACTCTGAAGGCGTCTGCATTATCTCTCCTCGCTATTTATTTATTTAATTTCCGTTTGTTTTATTTTTATTTTATAATAATTATAATTAATTATAATAAATAAAAAAAAAAAAAACAAAAAACTTTATACTTATGGCTCCTCACCAGCATCTGGCTGGGGTCGGTGAACTCTGTGGACTTGAAATACGTCGGCGGCATCGCGGCGGGGAGATGTTTCTCCGTCAGCAGAAACGCAGAACCCTAATAAAAATAAATAAATAAATAAATAAATAAAATAAATAAAATAAATAAAATAAATTAATTAGGGAATAAATTAATCATAAGAAATGCCAGAAGAGAAGAGCAGCAACACAACAACAACTGAAAAACAACGATAGGGTTTATTAGGGTTTCTGCGTATTAGGGTTTACGCTGTCTAGGGTTTAGGGTGTTGAGTTAGGGTTTAGGGTTTAGGGTGTTGAGTGAGGGTTTAGGGTTTAGGGTGTTGAGTGAGGGTTTAGGGTTTAGGGTATTGAGTGAGGGTTTAGGGTTTAGGGTTTAGGGTTTGAGGTTACCTGATCCTCTCTTTCTGCCTCCATAGAGCGCAGAATATTTCGTACTTTCTCTTCATTTCTTTTTGGTATCCAACACGAGCACCGCAGCGTCATATCTCTCCCTGCATGCAGCAGCAGCAGCAGCAGCAGCAGCATCAACAAGTAAAGCTAAATATAAAAACAAAAAGAGCAGCAACAGTTCGTTTCCTTTATGTGCCTGCTGCTCCCTCCTCTCTAGTGTTTAGGGTTTAGGGTTTAGGGTTTAGGGTTTAGGGTTTAGGGTTTGCAGACCCTCGAAGCAGTTGAGCGCCGCATATATTGCTTTCTCTTTCTGACAAAACATCCGCCATTCCTCAATCAATGAAGACCCCCCCTCTCTCGGCACCTCCAGCAACGTAGATATTTCACCCAAAAAATAATGTTCGTATGCAGCCAGAGCCTTCTCTTTGTCTCTTATTACGTCAGTTAGAGCTGCACAATATAAATATATTTTATATTAAATATATATTTATGTATATATATATATATATATATATACATAATATAATATTTATATTATGTAAAATTTTATATATATGTTGTATAAGAAAACACACAGTCAGCGAAAAACCAGAAAAAAAAACCAAGCACGATCTCACCATCATCATCATCATCATCATCATCATCATCATCATCATCAGCAGCAGCAGCAGCAGCAACAGCAGCAGCAGCAACAGCAGCAGCAACAGCAGCAGCAGCAGCAGGAGCAGCATCGTACCCTGTAATCTTTCTTCTGCTGCTTTGAATGTTTGTGGCCATTCATAACAATTCCCACCGAAAGCATCTGCAACTTTTTTAATTTTTTCGTGGAGAAGAGACTGTGTACTTCCTTGGTGGTATACAACAAATACACTTTTATGTATTTGTTGTGTTGTTTTTGGGTCAGAGAAAGGAGCTTCAATAGATTGAAAAAAAGAAAATGCATTACCTCTTGTTGATCGAAATAAAGTTCGTTGATACCGAGATATATCTGCTGTTGCGATGACACCTGAAACTGCAGATACAGCTGAAACTTGCGGTGTATTCTTAG